AGGACAACCAAAAATCCGTAAGTTATCAAAACTAACATCATGACCAGTCCATACCTCTTCTGCAACTTTCCAAGCCAGCGATGCCCTTGGCGATCTATTGATAAGGTAACACGCCATGTTAACAGCCTCAGCCCAGAAGTGTTTGGGAAGCCCCGCATTCAACCGCAAACATCTGGCTCTTTCATTCAACGACCTATTCATTCGTTCCGCAACACCATTCTGTTGTGGTGTCTTGCGCACTGTAAAATGCCTCTGAATCCCATGCTCCTTACAGAATTGTAGGAACTGTGAATATGTGTACTCCGTACCATTGTCAGACCGCAAACACTTGATTTTTCGTCCTGTTTGGTTTTCTACCTCAGCTTTCCACAGCTTGAACTTCTCAAAAACTTCAGATTTCTGTTTCAAAAAATACACCCAAACTTTCCGTGAAAAATCATCAATAAAAGTAACATAGTACCTAGATCCACCCAAAGACGATGTCGTGGAAGGCCCCCATACATCAGAATGCACATAATCAAGAATCCCTTGAGTTGTGTGCTTCGCAGTCTTGAAACGGACTTTAGTCTGTTTACCAAGAACACAATACTTGCAAAAATCGAGCTTACAGCTTTTGACACCATGCAACAAGTTTCTCTTGTGTAATTCTGCCATACCACGTTCACTAAGATGAGCAAGGCGCATATGCCACAATTTTGTCGTATCATCACAGGACTCAACAGAGTGAACTCCACCTGCAACGGTACTCCCTAACAATCTGTAGATATTCCCTGCAGTCATCTTGCCTTTCATCACAGTCAATGCTCCTTTAACAATCCGAATGGTTTCCCTATCCTCGTCAGCCTTAGGGATAAAACCATTCTTGTGCAAAGTGCCCAAGGAAATCAAATTCTTCTTCAAGTCTGGGATATGTCGAACACCACTCAACGTCCGAACGGAGCCATCGTGCATCTTAATTCTGACATCACCAATACCAACAATATTGCAACATCGATCATCACCCAAATAAACCGAACCAGAATTAACCGGCCTGTATGTCGAAAACCATTCCCTATTTGGCGTGATGTGATAAGAACATCCAGAATCAAGAATCCAAGCATCCGTCAATTGTGTCGTTGAAATAGAAAGCATATCACCCTCACTGCAATCAGAAGTATCATCCTCGACCACGTTCACAGACTTGGATGAGCCATCACGCTTCTCATCGGTCTGCTTTTTCAACTTCGGACAGTCTCGCTTCATATGTCCCGCCTCCTTGCACTTGTAACAGTGAATCGTCTTCTTATCCCTGGATTTGGATCTGGAATTCCGCTTCCCGGACCCTGCCTTCTCTGGCTTCCGTCCACGATCTCGATTACCCTTGACATATAAGCTATCGGCTTGAGAGCTTTCCCCTGCATTCTGCTTCCGCTGGTTGTGAGCCAACAAGGCTGCAGTAATCTCCTCAACGTTGATAGTCTCTTTCCCATATGTAAGAGTAGTCACCATGTGTTCGTAAGAGGAAGGCAACGAACACAACAGAATCATCGCTCTGTCTTCATCCTCAATTTTCACATCAAGCCGAGCCAGATCAGAAACGATTTGATTGAAGACATTCACGTGTTGCGCCAAATCGTGATCGTCCTGCATCTTCAGCCCATACAGCCGCTGCTTCAGATACAGTTTTGTCGTTAAGGATTTGGACATAAACTGACTTTCCAACTTCCTCCAAATTTCGTCTGGAGACGATAGATGCATGACGTGATACATGACCTCGTCCGCCAAGCATAATCGTATGGTTCCTGCCGCTCGCTGCTGCAATTCTTCCCAATCTTCCTCATCCATCGACGCTGGCTTTGTAGGTCGCAAAGCCTTCAAGATCCCTTGCTGCGCCAATAGATCCTTCACCCTCGTTTGCCATAATCCGAAGTTACCCTGACCATCGAATTTCGCGACTTCGAATTTTGCTCCTGACATCTGATACCAATTGTTGACGAAAACGGGTAAAGAAAACGAAAGAACACGAGAATTTTACGAGGTTCGGCAATGTGCTTACGTCCTCGGTGCCTATGCGGCGCTAGAAGTTTTTATTCAATGATATTTTAGGTCTAGGTTACATCTATATTTATAATAGAAAACCCTGGTACATAATTACAAAATCAACCCTGTACCGTACCGCGGGGGCTGCGCCCCCACACCCCCAACCCACATAATTCGTAACCCCACAACGAGACTTTTTATGAGCCATACATAACATTTCCTATGCTTGTTGTTAGAGATGGACTGAGGAGAGAGCGGGTGGAGGTGGTCGCCCTTCCTAAAATTTTTAAATTTTCTTATATTTTAGTTTTTTTAATCTTTTTTATTGATAATCTATTTTTCGTTCTCTTAAAAGTTTATATATTCCTTACAAAATTTATAAATCAGTCCCTCTAGTATAAAATTTTACCTTCGTCAATGTTTATCGTATGAATTTTCAAAGTTATTTGGGTCAAGGAACATGCTTAAAAACCACGAGAAAAATAAGCATTAATTCAAGTTCAGCATCGTTTTTGTTTGAATAAGTCAAAAATTAAGATGTATTAATTTTCTATTTTTCCATTGTTTTACCAAGCAACTGAGGACCTTATGTACATGCAAATGAAACTTCTAGGAAACTTCCATACATATATATTTATTAAAAATCTTAATATTTGATGCATCAACAGTATACAAATTTAGGTGTTATTATTGAATTAGGTTTTGACACATTATTATAAATTTTTAAAATTAATTTTACTTTTAATAATGTATCTTTATTCGATTTATTAATAGTTCATAAAATTATATATCGTCAATGAATTAAATATCATCCCTCGTGAATTAATAAAATCGAATTGTATTACATTAAATATTAATAATGCTAACTTTCAAGCATCGATGTTGTTATATGTGATTCACAATAACAATCCAATACAAAGTCAACCAAACTTGATTTAATATCTGGTCAACGTAAACCATCAGCCATGTAAAAACATATCGAGTTTACTGTTGAAAGAGATAGTTACATGGAATATTGATGGAAAAAGGAGTATAAAATATATATGTTTTATGTTGACTAGCTATGAAGTCAAGAGGAGCAGCCCACAAAATCTGGCACTCAAGTTCAGTTCAAAGTCAAAAGATCTATAATTCTAAAATTGCAGCACACAATTTTAATCTTAATCTAAAGTACCTCTTAGTCAGATTCCACTGTCATGCATGAAATTACGTGATCCACACTCCACAACCTCTTAATCATTATTATTATTATCTTCTATTTTTATAGGTTTGGTTCCGCTTTCTTGGTAAACAAACAGGAAATTCAGTCGTAGAACAACAATTACAAGAGCATTAATTGTCCAGAGAAAACCCTGTTGTATTGCTTTACAAGTCCTTGAAGATGTACAAAACAAATTGAATTCATTGCATTACAATAACCATACATTACTATATACAAATTAATTAATCCAACAAAAGAATTTTGAAAAAAAATGCTATAATTTCTGAAATATTTGTTCTGAAATTCGACCGGCGAGTGAAAAACCCTAGCTTCAAGTTGTTTCCTTTTTGTCACGTCACGGAGGAAATGAACGGTTAACATGGAATATCGATGGTGAAGAGAGCCTGATTGAAGCATCATATCTGATTAGGGGCAACACCGAGTTGAAGCATCGGTTGCGGATAAGCGGTGGAACGAGGAAAGGTAGCTGCAGCGGCGTAGTGCATTTCGTTCAAATGACAGGGTGGTCCGCCACGACCAGGGATGTTGGTGCACGAGGATCCCACTGATGGAGGTATGGTGCCCTTCTGAAGAGACTGCAAATGGAGTTCATGCAAGATTCTAGAAGCACCAATTGCATGATATTGTAAAACGAGGAGGAGGAGAAGAGATACCAAAGCAATGTTGAGAACTCTCATTGTTTATTTGGTGTGTAAAAATAAGTTAAATGTATGAGACATTTCATGTGGGAATGAGGGGTATTTATATCAGTGATAGGCTTATGACATACATATGTATGACAGAGAAAAAGTGTTCTCTTGCTTATTTGTTTAGAGGTTTTGACTGTTGAATTCATGGTTTATTTTATCAATTAAAAAAATGGGAATGGAATGGAGGTCTTAAGAAAGAGATAGGCACGGAGGGTGCTTAAACTTGGATGTCAAGGATTTTGCTTTCGCGCGGGATTAGGTCATTCATAATGTTATTTTAATACAAATGTGATTGCTTTTAGACAGGAGAGTTTATTCTTTTTAAAAATTAGAAAAATTTCGTGTTTAAATATTGAATTTATGATAAGTAAAAAATAAATGTGAAAATTAAGAAATAACAATAACTTCATTTTTATCCTTTCATTATTTTTATAATCTATTATTAGGATGATAATTTAATATCAACCCAACCGACGTTGATTCAATAGGATTCAATTTTTTTTTGGGGAAAGGGGTGTACTTTGTACGGAAGAGAGGACATACAAACGGATTCAATAAAAATGAATTATCTTAAAATAAAATAAAATAAAATTAGATCTAATTCGGATTTAAGATAAAAACTCACTGATCTGATCCAAAATATTTTTAAAATATTATATATGTTTGTATATATTTATGAAAATGTCATTGTATATTATTATGTTTAGTATATTTTTTCCTTATTCCATTATTTTATTGTTCACTCAATTTTTTAATCTTTTTTTTTTATTTTCTTTTCTCTTCTCTATAACAAATCGGGTCGGGTTTAAACTTGTTAAAAAAATTAAAGTTGCGGTTTAGGGGTGAGGTGGGTTCAACTAAATGCTCTTCTTTTTTTCTTCTGTGACAATACCAGCTCGCTCTCGATGAATGACAATAATTCTTCACAATAATAAATGAAAATGTTGAATAATTGAAAAAATATAAAAAATTCAAACATTGAAAATTAAATGCTTCATTTCTAATAAAACTAGAAATGCTTGATGCAATAAGAGCAATAACACTCTTTACATAATGTGTCCCCCCCCCCCTCTTATGAAAAGATTACACAAACTCGCTCCAAATCTAAGACCCAACTCACATTATTACATCATATCCATAACCATCGAATTTGCGGGTGAATTGATTACCTTTTTCAGTGTCCATTTGGAGGTCGGAATACCGTCGTGTACCTGTTGACACCACATGACGGATTCGAATAGTATGGGTAACCATCACCTTCTGCATTCCTCATCTGAAGTAAAGATAGATCGGAAGAAGTAATTGGCCATTGAGTTTGTAACGATCCATCGAGTTGTCCATTAGCATAAGGTTGGTGGTTCGACTGCGGCGTATATTCCCTCAGTGTATCGAAATGGTTTCCCAATGAACCACTGAAACTTCGTTGGAACCCATCAGCATGGTAACTTTGTGCTGGCTCACACCTGCACGAGCCACACGAGGATCCCATCTCACGCGACGTGCACAAATTGGGTGGAAAAGAAACATGGCGGGTTAGTAAGTGTGACCCATTGTCAAGAGCATGGAAGCCTGTTCCTGCCCTCCCTGTGCTCCCAACATGGTGTTCGTCGTCAAGTAACTCGTTGATGATATCAAGATGTGGAAATTCATCTGCCAAGACACCTTGGGTCTGACGTCCAGATGTACGGGCTGGAAACTCATTCGAGAAGTGTTCCCGGGATCCATTACATATGGACTTAAACAAATCAATAGTTTGGGTCTCACTAAGCAACGGGGAAGGATCAGAGTGCATATTTCTACTGCCATTCCTTTGATAATTGCCCATCCACTGAGAAGCATTCAACAGGATATCCTGATCTGCCATGCCAAAAGGAAAGCCTGATTGTACAGAATTTGGCTCCATCCTTTCAGGGCTCCGGGGTATATACACTGATCCCAAGGCAGGTGGTTGCGAATATACTGGCAAAGCATTGACTCCTGATCTAGGGGAGATAGGATGAGTAAAACTAGATGAACTAGAAGCCACATGATTACCCATCATGGCATTTCTGTAAGATTGAGGAACATAACTAGCAGCCGCTGATGGCTCAGGACCTAAAGAGACGGCTGCACTAGCTGAACGAGCTAGAAAAGGACTTGTTTGAACCATAGAAACAACAGGAGCAGCTGGCCTAGGACCAGGATTTAGATCACTCGACGGCCTTGGCATCACAGACTCTTGTGGGGTCATCAGTCTTTCAGACGCTGTCAATGTTGCAACCTTTTGACTCTCAGGTTTTAACGTACCATTCATTTGGGAAGTAGTAGAAGATGCAGGTTGATCACTCTGTTGCAGGCTGTTTGACGATATCTTCCTAGCTGGAATAGAACCTAAACTGCTAGTACTCCTGTATTCAGACCTGAACTGAGCAGAAGGTGGCGGATTTCCGGGAGGGCTTCGTGGAGAGGATGGTTTAGCAGCAGTATTCTCTTTAGATCTTTCTAAATCAACCGCATGTGGGATGCTTGGTTTCTTTTGTAGCAAAACATCCTATTACATTGAAAAGTTAAATGTCAATCATGTACCACTTAAAGCTGGAAAAGTAGAACAATTGTAAAGTAACAAAAAAGCTGACAGCTTAATGAGAACACAAATAAATGAATGCACCACCTTCTTAACAGCATCCTGCTTAACCCATTTTGTATGATCCAACAATTTAGGAACAACACCCTCAGACTCAGATTCATTGGCCTTAATACTTTCATAAACTTCGTTTTGGTCCCCAACATCTAATGCAGGACAAGACTGATTACCAGATTGTGTAATTTGATTATTGTCGTCACTTGATGTTTTACTTCGCTGGTTTTTTCTCCTACAATTTTAAAGAGCCAGATGAGATAAATACCTTGTCTAATCATTTTTTAGCATGGAAATAAACCTAAGCAACACTTTACCTGCTAGGTGATTTTTTATTGTGGTTGTTTGAAGAAGAATTCCCTTTATAGCGCCCATTCATTACCACTGATGGTATTGAGTTTGTTAAACATGTTGATGAACTATCATCCGTCATAGATGGGATCCTCTTATCAGTTACTTCATTTTGTACACACGATAGTCCACTTATGCCACTGCCACTGGATTCTGTGGGCAGATGAATTTCTGATGTATCTGTATCACAATTAATAGGTACCGAGTCGGAAACATCAGAAAAATCATTCAGAACATCAGCCTTTTCAGGCACTGGCTGCTCCACCATCATAGGGGCCTCCTTTTCATCGTCAGGCACTTCCTGGTGCTTTTCCTGTGCTGCCACAATAGCCTTCTCCTCCCTTCCCTTATCTTTGCTTTTTCGATTATTTCTCTTTTGCTTAGCCTGCAGTATGTAACCATAGGAGAAATTGTGATGCATTCAGAACGGAAAAAAGCTTCACAAATTTTTCTCCACTCTAATGAAGGGGAAACAAACACACGCTTGAAATTGCTTCCAAAACTGAATTAAAGGATCATTCTGACAATCACCCAGAAAAAGTAAAAATTGAATAAAAATAGATCAGGAATATGTCAACCAGGTTTTATCATTTTGTTTGGCTCAGGTGGTCAAAGGATAGTGTGTTTATTCTGATGTCTGCTTCAACATGCCCCATAAAGATAAAATACATACGACAACAAAAAGGATTATACCTGTTTTTTCTTTGACTTTTTCTCCTTCTCAGATGTGCCTTGTTTAGCCTTCTGCTCACTTTCAGCAAGCCATGCAGCTTCTTCACGGATGAGTTCTTCTTGCCTTTTCAAAGCAATTGCCTCCTGATAGGCAACTTCTATATTGTTGCTGTATATAAGCCAAAAAATAGAGCATATACAGGTAGGAATAAGGTAGAATCAGTATCATCCACTAATACTTTTCGGAGATTGCAGAACAGAAGTTTGTAACACTACGAGAAAATTAAGCATACAATTTTTCCAGTTAGCTCGCCAAAGGAAAAGGTTTATAAAATCATGACCAACTGCACCACCATCTAGATTTGTGCACATAAAACATCAGAAAATAAGACAATGCACATCAGAAAATAATTTTGCACTAGTTGCAGTCACCATCCTGGATAGAGTTTTCATGATGACAGGACACAGAATGCAGATATGGGATGCCTTGTGTGACACGACAGCAAATTCCAAGTCCCGCTGAATAAGTTACAGCATTGATTTCATAAGAAAACTGCATGTTAAACTAAATTTTAAAGATAGCTGATAAAATAAAATAGATGTGTCCAATGCATTGGTCATCAATAAGAAAATTCTAAGCACAACTCCAGAACTGCTTAGAATAAGTTTACTAGGAACAATAGGTCTAGCAATCACAATTTGATTTCTAGTATGGCTTAATTTACAAATTGGCCCTTGATTATACACCTTTTCATGATTTGCTGCCTAGATAGAGAAAAAGTACAATTAGGTACCCAGACCATAGTGCTAGAGAGTTTAATTGAATGTCATTTTTTACCAATAAAACATGACTCGTGATAACTTTTACACATAGGTAAATTAGAAATTTAAACTCTAACCTTTAAATAGTAAATAATATATTTTTTGGTTTTCTTTCCTGCCCTGCCACTGATCTCTCTAGCCCGTATCCTTTATTCTCTCTTCCTTCGCTTGCTTTGTTATTCTATTAAATTTTTTATTTCATTTTTGTATTTTATTTTAAAAATCAAAATACAAATTGCTAATATAGCATTAACTTTAACACATGACGACTTACCATCGGTTGACGAGCCCATCTCAGCTTTATGTGGCTAATATTAGCCACCTGAGTAACTTAGTTGACAAAACACAAATTCAAGTACCTAATCGTATTTATTTCTTTAGGTACCAAATCATGAACATTAAATCCTCTATATTAAAAAAACATTTAAAATTTGCAATTCCAGAAAAAGATGTCTTTGAAAAAATAGAAGAGAAATGGAACCACTGAAGTTGAATTGCAGCTCTCATCAAATATGTGTGAATCATAAAATCCTTATGCATGAACGATCACATAAGTGTGTGTGCCAATCCTAGTTATATGTAAACATGCCAGTATTAGCTGAATCCAAAGTGAAAAAATTATGGTACCTGAAAATATGAGCAAGAATAAATATTTCCACTGTCCTGCGACCTAGTTCTGTAAGATGCAGTTCATCACGCTCAATTAAATCCTTTTTGAGATCCTCTCCAGAATTCCCATCCTACATCAAATGAAAAGACTGGGTGAAGGGAAAAGCTGAAACACCATTTTCATACTAAAAAACGAGAACAAATTAATGTACAGAGAAATACTTTGATCATTGTAACTGTAAAAAGAACAAAAATAAATATGCCAGTCAGGGGCTTGAAGCATCTTTCCCCGAGAAATACACGTGAAAAACATTAGCTTCTATGGAATAAAAGCATCAATTCGCATCGTCACCAAGAGAGAAATCATATATAAAAAAATCACTAAATATTTCACTAATCTATAAAAGTTTAAAATGGAACCCATGTAACCTACAATCAATACAGAAACTTACCTTTGTTCGGTTTTGAGGACCTTTCTCATCTTTTGGAGGTAGTGGTTCCAAAACAGCCCTTTCTAGGAGTAAACACACATCATCCACTAACAAAAACATATCTTTTTCCACATGAACAATTGGAGCTGGCATTTCTTCAGCATCCAATATTTTTTTGCTCTTGCTCTGGGCTTCTAGAGCCTTCAGTCCACTATAAAGTGAATCCATTACCAACGTAGATGTTACTTCTTTCTCTATAAAAAAGTGCTTCACAACTACTTTCAAAATGACATCAGTTTTCTCCCTGGACATTTGATGCCGGGCATTCTGGTCAATCCCTAACCAAAAAGCACAGAAGCTGCAACAATTGCAACAGTTAGTTGCAGAAAAAAGGCAACAAAAAGAAATCAGGTGATAACCCAATGAGAAACAAAATCACAAAAAATATGCCATTAAAACATGAAGGAGTACAAAAGAAAATTTATTAAGTCAAAACTAATTGAGACCACTTCGATACATAATGTCAAGCCAAAAAGGAATTTGATGCTTAAAGAACAAAGATGAAAATTTAAGCAGAAAATCAGGCAATGGTAATAGTAAGTAACCAATTCATAAGAAAACCCTGTAAAAGGAAAGCATTCAAACATATGTTCTAAAAAACAGTCAAAACTTGTACTCAGTGTTATACATGAGTAATATGTCATTAAAAGTATAGCGTAAAAACATTTACCTTGACCACCTAGCTTTGTCCTCTATTAACTTTCCCAGCATTTGGCGTCTCTCATCCAAAAAACGGCAACAGATTTGCTCTACATTTGTCAAATATACTCTGACAAGTTCTCTCCGATACTGACAATCAAGGCAACGGAAAGGACGGTCTGCTTTCTCCCTACAAATACAAAACAAAATATTAAATTTGGTCATCAAGGAGGCAAAACTACATCAGGTGTAAACAATAACACAACACATCAAGTTGGTCGCAATATCCCAAGGCCGTAATCTCAAAATAAGGTAACAACCCCATTCAAGGAACCTTCTTTGACCATAATGACCTCATTACTAAGCCAACTTTATCATAAACGATATAATAAAAAGGCAGATTCAAACAATTATCAATGTATAGTTTCACCTTGAATCTTAAATTTGCTAAAACTGGGATTGCTTGTTTTAACAAGCTAAAGTTTATATATGTAATGCTACTACTTGTAATCTTGTATAAAAGGCCAAAAAGATAATTGGAAGGACTTACTTAGCTATAAAACATAAAGGTTATCTAATAACAGCATAAAGTAATAGTCATGAAAGCATTGTATGAAGCACTATAGGTTGAAGTTTGCTTATCATAAATCTATGCTACTCAAACTTGGGTATGAGTGTCAGAACTCAGATATAGGTATGTCTGATGTGGATATGTATAATTTTTTAAAAATTTCCATGCATTTGGAGGGCACTTGTAGAGTCATATTCCCATATCAATGTATGAATGTGTCAAATACTAGTGCCAGACATGGGTAGGACAAGAAAAATGGAGTCAAAGCAACATAGTCATAAATTACTGATTACTTGATGACTTGAACTTGAGCTTTTATGATAAGTGTGTCGGATTCTATGAACCCATCATAAACTTTTGACAGCTCCATAAACTTTTTCCAGCCCCAATCATGCTCCTTCTTCCAGAATCGATGTAATGTATCTGCAATCCAAATGCAAGTTACCCATAGCTCACAATTTCTGTTAGTGCTATTAAACTACATTTGAGCCAACCAACCCGAATATTTTGATTTCTTTGGATCTTTATTCACGACAGCTATTGTAAACTGTGCAAAATGATTCCAACCTGTCAAGGAATAGATGCAAGGAACCCTATTTAGTACAATTTAAGAGAAGAGTAATGATAATATATCCAATGGGTAGTTTATGGAAAACATCAAACCTGGAAGCAGTTTGTCATGATTAGCAACACAGAGAAACAGAGAGAGATGATTGCAAACATCACAGCCTTGTGGATAAATTAAAATGTACCTGTAAACCATGGCAAACGGCTCAAAATAAAATCAGACAATTAGAAAAAGACATGTTTTTTATGACAAATATTAAACTAACAAGATTTATATATTTGTGTGTACAACATATAACCCACATTAAATTCCAATACGATGTCCAAGACTAGGAATTCCAAAATGACAATTATGAATTAGAGAAAACAAAGTAAAAACATAACAGTTTAAATTGAAACTCCATACCACTTGTAGCCACCAACTTCAAACACATTACTGCGTAGTTCTCTTTTATTAATCTGTGAAAATTTATCTATCTTCCATGTATACTTTCCATACAAATCAGGAGGTTTCGGCCCTATAAAAGAAGTGAACACAGCTTTATTAGTTTTGATCATAAAAAGAATGGAAGAAAACAAATATATATTAAGAGTTCATACTTAAAATGGCAATACAAAACAAAACTGGTTAAAAATACGTCTTTAAATATTCCATAGCACAGTTTAATCTGAGTTTTTAGTACAATCAAAAAGTCCTGAACAAGGACGATACTTCTTTAAGTACTATGCATCGGGAAGAAACAGTTTCTAGTCAATAACGCCTTCTAGAACTCTGGATATTATTTAAAACAGAAGACAAAAAAATAAAGCAAAGAAATCTAAGTAAATTATTTATTATTCCTAAGAGCCAATTGCTCGAATAGATATCATTTGTCCTTCAATTTTACGAGTCCGGGAGATAAAAGTTAGGAGCAAAGAAAAAAGCCAATGGTCAGAGAAATATCTTCTTAATCTATCTTTTACGGGTGATGTGTCATGAGAACCAGGCTTCAGTACCTAATCTTCTATTATAACCAACCGTCAATCAACAAGTTAGAGCTTGAAAAACATAACCTCAAATGAAAACAACAATAAATAAGTCAAAACCATAAATGGTAAATTACATGCAAGCTACAACGACCTAATCCACCAATTGTAACTATGTTTTATGTAATTTATAAACATTAGAATGCAGACAAAAAGTATGAAAAGGACTATCCAAAATTGAATGCAAGCCATTTTTTTAACCATGACATTCCAAGATTTAAAATTACTGGATTTATATATAGAAGTTTCAAGTTTCAATCTAAGAGTGTCAATAGACTTTATAACGGCTGATAATAAACATATAGCATACAAATACATGTTCAAAAGAATAAAGAGCATTCAACAAAACATGAAAAGGATCCAAAAGCGTACCACCACCGCCATCATCATCAGAGTCCCAGTAAGGGGGTGAGGTCGAAGGCGTTCCATTTTCGACCTGCTCAGAAGACCGCCACTCTACCAACATTTCCCCTGATCTCAAACCCCACTCCGCAGACCTTTCCACTCCAGACTCCTCACTCGAAACTCCAGCCATTTTGATCCTTTAAAACCCCTTCCCACACTCCTTGAAATGTCACTCGCTACACAATCCAAAACCCAGATAAGAACCCACTCAAAGTTAGTAAGTCTTGAACCTCAATTCGAACTAAAAAATCTTTAGAAACACCATTTCCTTTTTTTATCATTACTGAAAACACCATTTCCATATGGGCCAATGCTCCCACCCAATATTTTAACTAAAGCATCATAAAATACAAAAGTAAAACTACAATTATATCAAAACTTCTACGTCTGCTTACAATTGAAATGACCAGAATTACCAGAAAACCAACTGATACAAACGTTCGTATTCTATCACATATATAGAACTAATTTAATTAGCCAAATTAGAAGACTACAATTAGACAAATTAAAAACCAAAATCAATAAAACCCAGATGAGAAATCTTAACAAAATCAATAATATTAACTCAAAAATGCATCAAACAGAATCTTATGAATCAATCCACAAAACCCAAATTGATAAAACTATCTAATTAGGACCAAATTAGCCCCTTAAAATAAAAATAAAAACGGAGACCATCAGATTGAAAACCCCCCAAAACCCCAGTCAAAATCAAACCCTAAAAAACCCTCAACAGATTAAAGAAAATCCAAAATGACTCGGACGGCATCGTGAAGATCGAATGGTGAAATCGAACCTCGCAATGTAAAAAATCAAAAGAGATGTTCCTTTCGGTTCAAATAGAGACTATGGCAGCTATAGTGAGAGAACGAAATAGATACAAAAAAAATAGCAGCAAAAGGGAGGACGGAGCAAAGAAAGAGAAAACGCTGAGTTCACTTTTTTCTTCTTATTTTTAAAATTTCGTCATTAACACCCTTTTTGTCTACCTATTCTATTGTTTAGGGTTCGAACCCTCCTCCTTACATTATAATTATAACTTAATTTGAAACCCAACCCAACTAAGATTGGGAGTGTAAAATAGAGCCTACTAATACCAGATTAAAAAAATAGTAGAAATCAGTTGTAATTAATTTTTTTTATCAAAAATATAAATTTATGGGTTAAATACGATAATATTTTAATTTAAAACTGAAAATATTACATATATTACATGTAAATAATTAAAATTCTTTAAAAAATCGACACTCAAGTTTAATTACTAAAAAGTAAATAACTAAATTTTAACTAATTAATTATGATATTATGGATTTGAATGTAAAATATCATATAAAACCATATTGCCAAATTTTAACTAAATCATAACAGTTGAAAGACCAATTTATATAAAATTAAAGTGCAAAGCTTAAATCCCAATTTCGATAGAGTATGAGGACAAAATATCATAATTTAACCTTCTAACTTACACCTTAAACCGTTGTCTCAACCGGGTCCACACCCAACCCGGATAAATGGATAGAGGATAGAATATGAGAAGGAATTCGGGAAAAAAAAATTCGACCGCCTTAACCCATTTCAAATTCTTTCAAAAGGATTTCACTTATCACTCTTTTTCTGACCGGAGCCTGAAGAATGGATCCACCGCCGATTACTCTAGTGATGGTTCAGGGTCCACGAAAAGGCGAAACTATCGTGTACCAACCCGGGTCCGCCATCCGGATCGGGCGGGTGGTACGTGGCAACAGTCTCCCGATCAAAGACGCCGGCATTTCTTCTAAGCACCTCACAATCGAATCCGGATCTGGTAAATGGATCCTTCGAGATCTCGGATCCTCTAACGGCACGACTCTTAATTCCGATTTACTCCCCGCGGATACTCCATTTGATCTCAAAGACGGCGATACGGTGAAGCTGGGAGAGACTACGTCGATCTTGATCAAAATCGAAGGCGGATAAGGTGGTGCAGAGGAGGTACCGGTGGTAGCGGAGAGACGGAGGAGGAATCCGTCGAGGAGAGGTAAGGCATTGAAGAACGAAACAGAGAGTTTTAATAAAGAATTAGAGAATTTAGAAGTAGAAAAGAAAAAAATGTTAGGGTTACTAGGAGTAGGAAGAATGCGGATTCCTTGAATTGCAGGTTAGATGTTCCGAAGGCTACTGAAAATCAGGAAGAAGCCGTGGCAAAACGAGGGAAAGGCCGCCCTAGGGGGAGGAAAAAGAACGAGCAGGAAGGAGAAGTAGAGGAAAAAGAAACAATTTTGATAGAAATAGATCAGGTGAATCAGGTGGAAGCGCTGAATCCATTGCAAAACGAAAAAAATAAAGTAAGAAAAGATGAAGTGGATATGATGGAGGCGTTGAATCCATTGCAAAACGAAGAAATTCAAGTAAGTAAAGATGACGTGGATAAGGAGGAGGAGCTGAATCCATTGCGAAACGAAGAAGTTCAAGTAAGAAAAGATGAAGAGAAGGTAGAGTGTTCTAAAACTGAGGTTAAGGAGAGCTGTGATGAAAAGAAGAATGAAGTTAAGGAGAGCTGTGATGAAAGGGTAGATATGGATTTGGAGAAGATGACATTAAGGGAGTGGTTGGATTACTTGGAGGTTCATTTGCCGAAGCAGATAACTGAGGCGACGGAGGAGATGATTGAGGGCATGAGGAAGAAAGCTGAGAGGGTTCAGGAGTATATGGTGGAGCAGAAGGAGAAGGGTAAAGCTGCTGTGGGTTAGGCTTAGAGGTAGGTATCAATCACTTTGTGGTGTAGTAATTAGTGTCTAAATTACAATGTGCTTAATTGTTTACTGGTGAAGTTCAAATCTTGTTGCTGAGATATGTATTTCTGGTATGATCTCTAATGTTTATGCTTCTGCTGCATGGATTTCAGAATGTCAGAAACTTTAAGATGATTCTGAAAGTGCTATGCTTTTGTATCCTAGGAGCAGATGCGTAGTGAACTTATCAGAAAATCTTCCTGGTGGTATTGTTAGATATTGGTTTATTGAGAAACTTTGATAGATTAAGAGAGTTTGAGTTTGTGTAATCAAGGGCACAAGGTGCATTTTAGGCCTTAGAATCCTTGTATTGCCTACACAAAGGGAAAAGAAAATGTTTGCCTGCATGAAGGGGCATTAAGTATTTATGTATTTTTTTATTAGTGTTAATGAATATATATTTGTCTACCCTTGACATATTTTATTGATTGTACACATTTTGAAATTTCATTTGTACCCATCCCATAAGAAAATTATGTGGTTAATATATACGTGCATTCGCTAAAAAAATTCTAGATCCATCACTGCTAATTAATAATCCATGTGTTATTTTTAATAATTTTATTTGAATCAATAAGGTGGTGACACATATTTAGTAAATTACAATAAAAACAAAATTTTAATTAAATAACATGGTGACGTATATCATCATTTTATTCGAACAAAATTAATACAATTCAAAAAATAAGAACAACAATAATTATTTAAGTTTATTTTGAGAGCAAAATACATCTTTTAAAATTTTCGGTGAAAACTGTACAGCAGATTGATACTCAAAAGAGACGATAAAAGAAAAAAAAAACAGAATCAGAGGTCCAGTTCCACCTGATGCTATTGCTTTCTTCAATCTCTATGCCTTCTGATCAGCAGCTTTCATAAATTATCAGCTTTCCCCATCACTAAATCTTCAAAAGAACAAGGATGAACACATACAGATAGTTAGGCGTATATCATTCGTGAACAAGGAAGACTTGTTAATAATTCGGATGCTAAATTGTACACAATCAGGCTGGTAAATTAACCTTAGCTTTCTCGATCCGACTACCCTTTCGATCCTCCTGGGTGCCGAGCACAGTCGATGTCGGTATTCCTGTTGCATTTCGAGACAACCAGAATCAGGGTCCAATACAGAAGCAATGTACTTAAAGAACAGTCTCGATGACATGCTGAAATTCTCTTACCTTTCTGGGTTGCAAATCCATTTCGTTTCAGAATCTCAGCTATAGTGACAACAGTAGGAATAGCTGAGGTAAAATAACAACAAGTATCAGCAAAGATTCCAATGATGAACAATACCATATAGTTCCAAAACATTGTAACTTTGCTAATTAATACTCAAAAGCAAAACTTGACCAAGAAGATTCAAGTAAATAATCAAAGAAAGTTTACCCATTCCTAAGCCGCAAAGTTCAACCTCATTGAACTAGTTTTTATGTACCTCTGCAACAAAGCAAGCATTGGGTCAAATTGGGCAAAACCCCATGAAGAAGGAAGGTTTGCTATTTAATTGATGAACAATTTGAGCATCGAGAAACAGAAATGGGTGTTTCTTTTATTACCTTGGCACGATTGAGATAGAAGATGAAGGGTTTCTAGGTGTTGGATATTTGCACCTCCTTCTTCTGTTTCTTCTTCTTATCATTCCTCGCATTCTTGGTCTCTTGTCTCTTGGGGTGGCTCGACAGTTTTAGCAGGAAAATGACGGGAGCAACCTCGACACGGTGATCGGCAGCGGTAACTACGGCGACAATAACCGGGTTCTTGCTGTTCTCGAAGTTGCCTTCGTCGCCGGAGATTATGGTATGCTCGTTCTTGAATTCTTCTTTGGCCTTAGGGCTCTCTGATCCAACTCGTTCTGCTGAAATACTCGACTCCATTGATTCAATTCGTCTCGCTCTTCTGTGGAATACGGAGGGGAAAAAGTCGGTTTCGAGCTCGAATTGAATTGAGTAAATTGAGTTTAAATTAAAAAAACACCTGATCCAAAAATAATAATATAAACAAACTTAATATAGTTAGAGATAATTATTATAATATCTTTTATTTATATTTTTTAATTAGAATTTTTTTATTATAAAATTTTATATTTATATTTATGTCAGATTGAATAAGAGTTTTAACTTAAAAATGAGCCGTATTTTAAATCGGGTGTAATTTTTTTAAACCTAAATCAGATCAAACGATGAATGAAGAAATGTTGTACTTAAATTAAATTCGGGTACATAAAAAATTTAACTTAATCCGACCTGTCACCATTTCTAAATAAGTTAGTTACCACTTAAAAAATTGTAACCAAATGTGAACTAAACCATGTTAAAGGCCCAGTCCAACAAAAAGTTTACACTTAATTTAGGGTTTCAGTCTTTATATATAAGCAACCTATCGAGTTTTCTTCTTCTCTAGTTTCACCTCCTCCAACCAAACCCTAAAGTCTACAGCTTCAGAAATTAAACCTTTCGACCATGGTGAGTTAGTTGCCCCTGCGCTCTTCTTTTTTTTATTTGCCTTATTCGTTGATCTTACGATGCGCAAATTGGTTTATTTTGATAGGCGGATGTGGAGACGGAGGTTGCGGCGGTCGGAGTGCCCAAAAAGAGAACATTCAAGAAGTTCAGCTTTAGGGGTGTTGATTTGGATGCTCTCCTCGATATGTCCACCGATGAGCTAGTCAAGCTCTTCCCTGCACGTGCTCGCAGAAGGTAATAAGGAAACGAAAAAAAAAAGATTCAATTTTCTTAACAATTTTGCTTGTTTTTACTGAAAAATATGAAATGGGTTTTTCATTTTTTGTTATTTTTGTTATGGGATTGTAGGTTCCAGAGAGGTCTCAAGAGAAAGCCCATGGCTTTGATTAAGAAACTCCGCAAGGCGGTAATTTGATCTTATCTTCACTCTTTTACAACTTTCATCGCATATATCTTTAGATCTAGAGTTTGATGTTGGAAACTGAGAGATTTGTGTTAAACTTGATGACGATAGTCAAATTTTACTTGGAATTTTGTTTTGTGCTAATTTTAGTAATTGAAGTTAAGTCTAGTGTTTATGCTTGTACTTAAGTAGATTGCAGTCATTGATTATGTTTTGAATTATTTGCTGAATGCCAGCCCTTGAATGCGCATAATAGAATAAGCTATCAACATATTTTGCATAAATGATGAGCAAATTTCGACACCATCTTTTGCTTTTTATCTTAGTCGGCTTTCCTTTTAGTTTCTGACTCCCAGATTTATTGTGGGTTGGCTAAGTGTAATTGTCCAATATTAGTGTTTTAATGTCCTTTAGTTGCTTTTTTAGTATGACAAAGATCATCTGTTCTTTTGTGTGCTTGTTGCTGAATTTTCATTGTAAATCCAGCTTTTGAGAATATGATCAAACTCATTAATATGTGATTGTCCTATTAACTATTATACTCACAATCTCTGCTATGATGTATTTAACCAGAAAAGGGAGGCTCCACCTGGTGAGAAGCCAGAACCAGTGAGAACCCACCTCCGAAACATGATCATTGTACCCGAAATGATTGGTAGCATCATCGGTGTGTACAATGGCAAGACATTCAACCAGGTTGAAATCAAGCCTGAAATGATTAGTCATTACCTTGCTGAGTTCTCTATTTCATACAAGCCGGTTAAGCACGGTAGACCCGGTATCGGTGCTACTCACTCTTCAAGGTTCATTCCTCTAAAGTGAAGACCTTTCCTCCAGCTTGGATCCTCAGTATGGGGTTACTATGAAAATTTGTTTTGTTGCACTTTTGGTAATGAATTTTTATGCCCTTGTGGTTGCTCTTTTAGATAAATGAGACTAGAGGTGCTTTGGACATTTCATCATCTAGCTTTATTGCAGTTGAAGATGTCAATGTTTTGTTTGGTAATTTGTCTACTACTCTTTATTATAGTTAAATTGTGTTGAGGTTTGGTAATTTCATTATCTTTTATTTCATATATCGGTAGCTGTTTATAATTGCCGGTATCCCTACTAATCTGAATCACCTAATGCATAGGCTTAAAACATGGAATGATTCTCTTAATTCAGTTTATTTCATTTACAAAATGAAATTCAAAGCTTGCTGCAAATCCATTTTTTACAATCATATTTAGGGGTGAGGTTCAATCGAGTTGAGTAAAAAAAATCATTTATTTAAGTTGATGAGTCTTATTTTATAACTCAAAGATGACATGAAATTTTTTGAGTCGAGTTGATTTTTTTTATTTTATTAGAATTTTTTAGTTATATGAGTTTTATGAAATTATAATTTAAATTAATTCGAGTAAAGTTTTGTTCATTTCTAATCAGATTGATTCATTTTCCCATGTTAATAACTTTTACCAACAAAAAAATTTAAACATATGCATCGGTTTTATGGTCATATTCGAACATAGTAAAGATGTTCAATAATATTGTCTCTAAAATTTGAATCTTATTTTTTTTAGCGAGTCATGCCGTCCAACGGTCCCCAGGCTTCCTCCTAGCCTCTTGCATTGCTTTATTTAATGCATTTTCCACATCTGCAGCTCCCATCTATAAAAAATGGATAAAATAATCTCATAAATTTTATTAAATAATTGGTTGCTAATTTTACTACGGCTTATAATTACACATACGTGAAAAATAACATGACAAACCTGGGTTGAAGTATCCAAAACTGCAAGGAATTCTTGATCTATAAAGTTTGATTGGATCATTCTGGGTTTAGAATCCAGTGTCTTCAAGCATTTCAAAGCCTTTAACACTGAATCGATCCCATACACTGGATTATCTATCTTCACTCTGATCTTGTTTCCTTCATTATTTGCCTGCAATTCCTTGTTCCTCCTCTCCAAATCCTTCTTTACCAATTCCAGCTCTTCAACTCTCTTAGTTGCCATCTGAACTATCGACTTCTTATCATTCTGCCATGAAAAATACCAAAGAAAATGCTCAAAAACACAACTTTTTTCTAATGCCATCGAAAACCCAGCATTTATTCGACATTTTTTTCAGTTTTTTTGACGACATAAAAGACGATACCTTGACATTTTCAGCACGATGTGCTCTAACAGTACGAAATGAAAAACTAAACCAACCTTGGTACCAGGAGCGAGCATGGAATACAAGGCAAAGTAGCAATTTTTCTCCTTTTCTCTTCTCTGTCTCTCATTCAATTTGTGCTTCACATTCCTCTGTTTATCGTCGTCTTTTGCTGTCGTTTTCGAAACCTGATCGATCGTCCTCAAGTACTCGATCATTCTCTTGTTCATGTTCCCTGCATTATTACAACCAGCAGTCTCCACTCTGGGTGTTAATGAATATGGCTGAAAAGAACCGGTGCTAATTGGTGGAAGCGCTTCATACCAGGAGATTTCATTTTCACCTTGTAGTAGTAGCTCCACGAACTGATCCATGGCCTTTTTTCCCTTGATTTTTCTTTACTGGGAATTCTGCATATTTTAGTTTGAAAATTGTTTATAAAGGAAAGATCCACCCTTGAGTCCATGATTGCTTTATTTTGTTTGAAAATTATGTTCAGACTTGTCCTTGGTCAAAGACTTTGACTCAGAAGTCTCTTCTGTCAACTCTTAGTTAGCCCATAAGAATTGGCCATCCAAACCGGATGAATAAGATCCAATCTTATTTTATTTTAAAGGGTAAAATACACGTTTAGTATCCTAACTATTATTTTCATTCCATTTTGGTCACCAAACTAGTTTTTGTTTTAAAATAATACCTGACGTTACATTTTCATTTCATTTTGGTCACCTACCGTTAGAAAATTAACGGTGATGTTGATGTGTCACCATAAGATAATGACACGTCATCATTGAAAATTTAAAAAAATATCACGTCAGCAGTTTTGTTAATTTTTTAACGATAAGTGACCAAAATGAAACTAAAATATAACATTAGGTATGATTTTGAGACAAAAAAAAGTTAGATAACCAAAACAAAACAAAAGTGATAATTGGATTACTAAACGTATACTTTACTCTATTTATTTTCTCACGAGGTTAAAATGATAAAAATATAATTACATATTAATTTATTATATCATATTTATAATGTAAATTATAACTATATATTTAAATAAATTTATTTTTAAAATAATAGTAATTATTATAAAAATCATAAACCTTAGAAACATTCCCTAAATATTTAACATTATAATATTTAATTAACTTAGCTTTTATTTTTGTTTTCTTTCTGGTTCTAAGACTTTGTCTTAATTAATTCAGACCGACTTACGTTGCACACTTAATTTTGGTGGGTGAATCTCCAAACATAATTTTTTATATACACCATCATTATAATATATATTAACTTATTTTTGTATATTATATTATCATAATCAAGATTTTAACTAATTTAACTCCTTTTAAGATTAATTATCAATTCTTAGGTGAAAAGTAGTTTCTCTTTTTATTTTTAGGGTGCTGTCAGTTTTTTCTTCTACTTCATCTTGTGGCGTAGTGTGACATAAATCTTGGTATTAGTTGTTCAACGCCAATATCTGTTAATTTTCTTTTATTTTGTTATATCATATTTTTTATTTTTAATAATTTCATTTTTATAACATATTTTCTTTGCCTTTATGGTATATTTTTGATATTTTGACTGTTATTTTCGTTTATCATTTTTATCATGGTTGTATTTAACATCATCACGACTGATCAAGATTATGCTTATTTGTTACCATGTTGATCTTTCCTAATTTGAACCCTCATATTGGATTTTGATGCACGATTTACGTCCATAGATAATTTTTTAGTATTGATATATTATGATTTATGGCTTGTCAATGATCTTTCAATAGTTTGATCTCTTTTTGTGGTTCGATTGTCAATGCAATTAGATAATTAGTATTTACTTTTTGTTCGATTTTTTTTGGTTATGTTTTTTAACATTCTCTTGCATAATTTTTTGTGCGATTTTAAGTGGTTAGTTTAACGTAAGAAAATTTCCTTATTATATATTCAATTTACGGTTGTGATTATAAACATTTATTTTAATTTATATATTTTTTATTTTAAATATATATATATAAGGTATCATCCAATTACACACTAGGGGTGTTCAAACGAGTAATTCGGTTAAATGACCGAATCGAATTACCCAAATTTCATTAGCCGATTTTTCCCTCTTAACCGTTAACCGAACCGAATCAAGTTCGGTTAATTGATCAGTTAATCGAATTAATAAAAATTTATAAATAATATATATTATATATTTAATATTTGATCGGTTAATTTGGTAAGAACCGAATTCAAACATCTCTAAAGCTAAATAATATATATATATATATATATTTAATAATTTCGGTTAATTCGGTTAATTAACTAATTTCAAACCAAAATAATCGAAACCAAAAATTAAAAAAAATCATTAACTATTAACCGAACCAACTCAAAATTAATCGATCGAAATCAGTTAGTTAATTCGATTTTAATCGAATAGTGAACACCTCAGTTACATACAGTAAAGAGTTTTACACATTATATATATATACTCCTCTCAGGATTTCCTCCTTTTATGCCTATAGAGAAAAGGTTTCATTTTGCAGTTTGAACCCTTCACTTGAACAATTGAACAAACACATAGGCTGCAGTTTCTGAAAGATGCTTGAATTCCAACCCAGCCCAGTAGAGACCAAATCTTGCAACTCCCAAGCTTAAACTAGCATAGCACTATCAGTTTCGAGCCACCTCGATCACCTATAGCTACCCCCAACACACTTTTGCTCTTCGGTTGTTGATAGAACGCGCGCCAAAGAAAGGAATACAATTTGCTTTGAAGTGTCTCGAAATGTTTGGTATTTCATATGGAGAGCTCTTCCTTTTGATTGGAGCCACTGCTGCTCTAGTCGGTAATTCTGCTCTTACTTTGATTATGCTCACTTTTATTCTAGTTTTTTTGGGTTAATTGGGATTATGGGATTTGAAGGAATGCTTCCATTCCTCTTGAAAGGGAAAGCTTTTTTGAGCCAAAACCAGAAATGTGTTTTCTGTAATATTGTTGTTCGCAGGACCTAAGGATCTGCCTAAAATTGCAAGAGCAGCTGGGAGGTTAGCAGGTCGATCAATTGGATATGTTCAATTAGCTCGGGGCCAATTCGATAATGTTATGCAACAATCTCAAGCTCGTCAGGTACTTCTTTTTCCATTGAACAATATAAAAAAAGTTAAAAGAGAACCAAGGATTTAAATAGAGGTCCGCTATCGGAAATAGCTGGGTTTATATAGCGGCAAATATGTCGTCCGAAACTGTTATTTCACAACCGTGATACCCGCAATAGCACCCACTAGTGCCGCAATCGCGATAAACACAATTGAGATTACGATGGCAACTGCAATTTAAATCCCTGAAGAGAATCCTCATTACCAAATTAAATTTTAGTTTCTTGTTCTTCCTGCCAAGAATTTTAGAAGTGCTTTAATGTCCATTGGAAGTAAAATTTTGTATACTATCTAGTATGTTATATAGATTATATAGAAAATTAATTGTCCATAGCATGCTTAGAGCTGGAAGATATTCGCTGTGACAACTTTAGGGAGGTTGTCTTTCACATTATGATAATCTGGCATTTCTAGGTTCACAAAGAGCTTCAAGATACAATGGCACAACTAGATGCAATTCGGCATGAAATACGGAGTTTATCTCTTGTGAATCCTGGTCCTATGACTAGAAGAATGATGGAAAATCCTCCAGAGCCTGCTTCTGATAGTAATGGTAGTAGTCTTAGTTTAATTATATGCATCCCATGACATTGCTACCTTGTTCTTTTTCCGTCTCTTAACTTCCTCCCCGAACCTGTTCTTTTGTAGTTACAGATCCACCCGAGAAAAGTGAAGAAGATAAGAATTCAACTGATACTGTGAAGAATCCAATCGATACCGTGAAGAATTCAACTGATTTGCATAGCCAAGCGACTGCCTATGCAAGATTGGCTGAATCTGAAGCTCTTAAAGCTGGTTCAGTGAGGTGCAATGTAGAAGAGGAAAATCTTAAATATGAATTTGGTGACTTCCCCGTTCTTCCAGTTTCAGCTGAAAGTGCCGGACTCCTTCCAGATCGGAAAGGTTGTAAGATTTCTTAAAATCATCGTTAGATGCTTTCGTTCGGTTATTAGTGTATGTGCTCTTGTAAATTGTCTCTGGCAGGCGGCAGCTAAATACCATGCTTTATGTAAAAATGTTCATTCATGCTTGTACGTGAATGTGTGTGTTTGATGAAAACCTCAGGTTCCTGCATCATATTTTTATTGCATCATTTCTCTTTTAAACTCATGATAATAGTGTTGACTTCCTGTTGATATGAAGTCGTAATACATCTATCCCTGCCTCGCATTTGGATTGATTTCGGGGGGAAATGTACATTTACCCCATGGAATGAAAATATGTCCATGTTTAATTGATTTTGCAACCATTTTCTATTTGTTGCACCTGCTGATATTTGCTTCTTTTAAGAGTCACCTGATATGCATGCACAATCATTTCCACCATAATATTTTAGTACTTATTACTGTTTCATGTAAGTACATGTACTCGTAAAGATGGCTGTTAATTGTGTAATTTGTGTTGGCAGAAGGTGCAAAAGCATCAGACATTGTGTTGGAAGCAGTAGTGGAGGCAGAGGTGGCTCGTAATGCCAAGGAGTTCTTTTCTCTGCCTCAAAATCAAATACAGTAAATAAGAAGGTATTTCCTATTTAGTCTTCGCTATCACCCGAGCAGTATAATCATGTTTCGATTCCTGCCTCAAGATCAAAATATGTAGTGTTGCCTTGTTCATCCTTGCCAATTAATTCAATTTGCCCTGTGCTCTGATACAAGCTAGGCTTCCAATATGATTTATTTCTTTACTTTTATTTCAAGAAGTTTTCTCAACTTTTGAGTTGAACTCTTTGGTGTCGGCTCTCGATGTCCATAATCTTGCCCAAGACCTGTGTATTTAGTTCTAGTATCGAAGTAACATTATTGTTAAGCATTTAACATGCATTAGAAAAATACTATAAGGGAGAAATGGTTCTTGGTGATTGATCTGATAGCTTTATTTCGTAGTTTCACTTTAGGTCTAACCAACAAACTTGTGTCATCAGTGTACCATACAACCTAACATCAAATGTGAGTACCATATTGCTCTGTCTTAGGGAAAGAGCTGTCGTTGATTCGACCACCAAGCATTACAGCCTTCCGAGTGAGTACCATATTGCTCCGTCTCTTTTCAGGAACGGGGAGCCTTTTCGGATCAAAGTAAGTTCTGCTCCAACCATATGTCACCGACCTTGGAGTTTGAATTTAATCACATTCTTCTCGGATCAAACTTTTGATCTTCGATTCAATGGAGTGATTTATCTTCTAAACAGTGTCTGAATCAAATAGAGTACTGATTACAAGTTCAATCGGTTCGATTAGCTGATCTTATTTCTTATTTAATGGCATCAGTCTTCATTCCGGGCTTCGAGTACAAATATCAGGCTTAAAGAACAGGTCGAAAAGCTCAAAGAGGAAGTGCTAAGAGCAAGGAATACTTTTCAATGGACATGTACCAGTCATACTAAGAAAGCTAGCAGAAAGTTTTTCATGTTGGAGCTGAACTTACTACAACCATGTTAAAAACATAATGAAAGGACTAAATATGGTTTATTTTTCTTCGATGATTCGGGTTCAAACAACCGTATGTACGGAGTAAGATAAGATCGAGGTAGTTTAAAATGGTTAAAAAGAATAAAAAGAAAGCAATTAAGTAATAAGCACAGTATATTAAAGAGAGATTTGGGGTGCAACCCACAATGATTTGGTTGTACTTACATAACGTGACCAAATCGCACAAATTGTATATAAGATATTAAATTGCCATACACATAAATCTTTACTTTTAAAATAATAAAAGATTCTGTTCAGAAAATAAACAGCTAAGTAGACAGGTAGGTGGCACTACAAGCCCCATCTCAAATAATAAAATAAATAAATATTATTTATGTTCAATTCACTTTGTAATGATTTATTCTCACTGTAATTACTTTTAAATAGTTTAATACTTGTAATAGTATTATTACTTTAGCTAAAAGAATACAAATTAAACTATTTATTAACTTGTTATATGTTCATTTACACAACTTACATTCACCAATTAAATTTTATTTGACGTTTTTGATTATCCCAAAATTGGTCATACATAATTGGTGAATAAATATAGAAACGATTCATTGTCATTATTATAACAATCCTGCATCAATGGCAATGAATTAATGCCCCATCAGCATGCACATGGTAATGTTCCCCAATCTCTCACGGGGTCCTAAAATTTAATGAATTTCAATACATATATATATATATATATATATATATATATATATATATAAAGAAAATCCCAGAAATGAAATTTTAATAAATTTAATCTCAAATATTATGAGGAATTATTAATTCAATTAAAATCATCAGTGTTATAATAACCTAGAAATTATGAATTCAGACAAGCAGACAATAGCTCAAAAAATATGTGATTAAAAACAAATTCCTCCCCCATTAGCAGTAAACAAAAGCCAGACGATAGGTTTTAATTTCATTGCTTCTCGTCCATTACAAATATATTTGCATATCTACATATAACAAAGCATATATGAAAATATTAGGTAAATTTCAACGAAGTTGCTCTAGTTGTTCCAAGTGGTTTAGGCTCTGCTCTTGCATTTCTCCATCGCTTCCGATCCTTTCATTATGCGTAAACGCTTACAAGATTTAACTAACATCCTGTGAAAAAAAAAGACAAAAAATAAGACCCAAGGCGAGGTGAGCTGCTAAAAGATACACATGCATGAGTATGGAGGCATGTAATGAAGACTAGCATATAATTAACTAGGAACAGTTTTATGTTTGATTTTATATATATATATACATATATGTGTGAATAAAAACATACTCCCATGGGACATCGCCCACGAGCATCCAGTCGCCATCTTTATCCTCATAGGTTGGCACATAATCAGAACTATTGAGAAGATCCATCAACTTGCTCTCATTCATGAAGTCTATCATCCCTTGAGATCCATAATATCCTTTAAAAAAAAAACAACCCAATATTCCACGAACATGTCAACTTGACTAGTTTCCGACAAAAAAATAAATGAGTAGATGATGATACGACATTAAAAATGTAAACATACCCATAGTGAAAGAACTGAACATTTTAGCCAAGGCATGAGATAACTTTTGGTAACTATTGTACATCTTCAAATCCACCTTACGCAAATAGGGTGCACCATCCATGCTAACCTTCACAAACGCAGCTTTCTCACATTCCTCGCTGCTGTTCTTCTGGTTATCCATGATGTTCTTCCTATAAGATCGAACTGGTGGCCATCCAAACACTTGTGCCCTATAAAAAAACAACATATGATCATGTAATAAAGTGTGGGTACGTAGTTTTGTTTTTGACATACTTGGCTGGCTGTTTTGAATGATCTTTGGTGCATGCAGCAGCTTCTTTTGAACCATTTTCTAGGTTAAGCTTCAAATCAACAGTCTCGGAGAACCGTCTTTTCCCTGTGGTCTTTGGAGAACTTTCCACTTCATTTTCACCGCCGCCGCCGCCGCGGGGCAAGCCGAGGCACAGCTCGGTCTCTTTGTAGTTCAGATCACGCTCGGTTCCTTGCATGTTCAGCCTTATTCCTATGTTGTTAGAGAAATAGAGAGAGTGGGAGAAATGAAGAAAGAGAGAAACCCTCAATGATATAAAACAACTATGGGGATGGTGGTTCCATGGCTGCATGTGTATGTCACATCAGCATCAGCACCAGCATCCATGGTTTGTGAACACGTGGAGAGAGATGGGACGTTGGATAAATCACCAAAGTAGTCCGCTTTTTTAATGAGTGTTTTTTCATAGGAGTAGAAGGAAATATTTTTCCATTCCCCAATTCTCTCCCATTAGTTTGTTAAAACCCTTTTCAAATTGAACACTATCATCTTGTAGCCTGTAGGGATCATGAGAAGTCACAAAAGTCTAACGAATCACATGCATGTAACAAGTTTTTTCTTTCCGTTCATTTTTTTAAGTGTGTTGGGAGAAGCAGTGGCAGAGTTAAAATTAAATAATTAAAGGAGCAAATTGTTTAAATTATAAATAAATAGAGTATTAAAAATAATTACATTAAATTTAAAACTGACAATATCCTTAAAAACAATTATATTAAAATATTTTGGGAGGAATAAGGGATTAATTGTAAGCTGAGGGTCATTGTCTCTCTCACCTATAACATGTGTTCGTTCCTAAGAAAAAAAATATAAACATGAAAGATATAATTTAATTAATTATATTATATTGTATGAATTAAAATAAATAAAAAAATGTCCATATTTTAAAGAATATATAAGTTGTAGGAATCTTTCATTTATATACAATTTCACATGATCTAATAATTCATCCCTGCAATGAGACTCTCAATTTTATTAAGTACTATTATCTGCATTTTATTCAAACTATTTCTTATTGATTTTTCTTGATTAATTTTTGTCAACTTTGACTTTTTATTATTTAAATATATTATTGATAAAAATATAAAAATATTTTAAAAACCTTTTATCAAGTAGTTTTGAAATATATATTTTATAAAATTTAATTTTTTTAAAAAATATTTAAATAATTATGATCAAAATTTAAAAAAAATGAGTTTTGAAAAATTAATAAAAGACAACTTGAGTAGGATAAAGGGAGTATACTGCATACTTCTTTCATTTTCTATGTTCTATTTATTGATTATATCAGAGTATGTGACTGCATCTCTCAACGAGATCATCTTTAAACTTTAATTCAAATTCTCCACTTAAAAGTGTAATACACATTGAAATCATCAAGTGACCTCAATGGTGAAAGGAAATATTATTCTCTACAGAGATCTTAGGTTCAAGCAGTTGCATTTATGGGTGTATGTACGTTGTCAATAACTAAGAAAGATTCTAAACAATTATTACATTGTAATCACCCTAATTTTTTTTAGAAAAACAAAGTGTAATGCACCATACCTTAAAATCAGGGACGGACGCAATATTTTATGCTAGAGGGGACGAACTTATAAAATTTTAAAGGAGATACGAACTTATAAAATTTTAAGGAGGGGGAAAATAAATTTTCAATGAAAAATACAAAAAAATTATCTAAATTATAAAGGAATTTAAATTTTTAGAGTCCATCCTTACTTAAATATATTGTATTCAATAATAATTTTATTATAAAAAATATAATACTTTAATTTACAGATAGAATAATCACTTTAAATTTTTAACTATTAAAATTTTACGGGTATTACACGAATAGATAAGAATTGTCGTGAACTGGCCTTTTGACTCTTGTGGCGGGAGGATGAGACCTGATTATTGTTGCGACGGGATACTGTTGGTGACGGCAAATGAGATTTTAGGGATTTTTGAAAAATTTAAAATTTAAGTTTTTTTTAGATATTATAAATTTTAATGTTTTTATTTTTAAGAAAAATATAATTATATTTTATACCACATCCCAAATAATAATTGAATGACAGAATTTTTAATGGATATTAGTGAATCTACGCTAAAATAATTATAAAATGAAACATCAAATATCATATTTGTAACTAATAATCAATTGATCTAGTGAGATGAGGTACTAAATTTATTAAGTAACGTAAGAGATTTGAACTTTGATGTTTGCGAATAGAACAAGCTAGGTTGGGAGAGCCCTTCCCATAATGGGCCTATGCAAAATCTGATATAAATTAACCGGTCAATAGATCATATATCGATAATTAATTAAAAAATATCATATTTGTAACAAGAAAAAATGGTGACAAATGCACGATATCTTTGAACCAAATGGGGCTAACAATTTGGCGTCAACATCACCCATTCTGGAAGGCCTTTGCTTTGAAGGGAGTGGTGGCGGCTTCGAGACAGGTCACACCCCTAGGAGAAGGAAACAACCCTAACCCAAGTGGCTCCCTTGCCTTATCAATACCCCTCCCGAACCGCGTTCTCCATTATTTCTTTCTAACTTCCCTCTATGATATCTATACGTACAATCATGTAATTCGTGTAAATGAATTGTGTTTTTTAATAGTGTGGTTTAAAATATTTTTTTAATTATTGATAACGTACATATACCATGCAAAAACAATTATTCGAACTTTAAATATCTAGGGAGAATAATATTATTCTTAATCATTGAGAAAGAAAAAGAGTAACTTGTATTAAATATAACATTAAATGGTGATAGGGTTTTGTATGTGTATTGGTTAAAGGTTTTTTTTAAAAAAAAAGAAAAAAAATCAAGGATTAATATGGAAAATATTCAATCTTTTTAGCATATCTTTGAAATCTGAAATAGACATCCGCATATTATTGGATTTGTCCTAGAGATACAGGAGAAACTCTTTAAATTAATACTCGGTAAATTAATAAATTCTCTAAAATAATAAATTTGTCTGGTCCCGGCTTGGGCCAATGTAAAAAATTGAAAAACTCGATAAAATAATAAGATAATAATTTTTCGTGAGATCCCTTTATAATTTTCGGTCCTAAGAAAATCATAAATTAATACTTCATAGAAACTTGAAAAAAATATATTACTCTCTTGCAACGTAATTCTAAGAGGCATAGATTAATTTACCTTTTTGTTTGGTATGTACAGTATAATTACTTAAAAACTCTTTAAATTAATAATTATTAATTTATCGATAAATTAATAACTCTCTAAATTAATAAATTTCTCCGGTCCTGACATTATTAATTTATAGAGTTTTAACTGTATTTACGGTTAGGTGGGTTAAGAAATATAATTGAAAATTCGATTTGCTCTTGAGTCAAAAATCAAGATATTTAAAATTGATCCACTATGTTTAATATATCCTTTAATTTATAGGTGCGGAGAGTTTGGACAATATAGGTATATCCAAGGATAGACTAAGGGGGAACGAGTAAGATTTTCTTTAAAATTTAAAAAAAAATTATATTTTTTAAAATATTTTCTATTAATAATAATATATTTTTGTCTCTTAAAATTTTATAAGTTCATCGTCTCTTAAAAATTTTAAAATCATTTTTTAACATAAAATCACATGGATACCCTTAAGCTATCAAATTGTTCAAAATAATTATCGCAATAAATTACAATAAATAAAGATGCTATTGTTCTTTAAATATCGAATTCATCTATTAGTTCATGTACTTTAACTGGGTACTTTTTCTTCACTTAATTTCATATTTTGAAATTTTAATCATAACTCAAACAAACTCTATTAAGCTAAATTCTTCCATTAGTCATTGCATCATGCATAAATTATAGATGTAGTTCATGTTCTCAAATTTAACACGTTTAAGTACCTATAATTTATCATATTATCTTTTCTATTATTTGAATTAGAACTAAAATTTCAAAATTTCAAAATTACAATATAAGAGCTAAATTTAATCAAAGTAAAGTAAAAATATTAAATCTATATTTTTTAATAGTCTGATATAACTATAATGTAATAGTTGTTTAGAATTTTTTAAATTTATTAACAATGCACTCACCCTACAAATATAATTGCTTGAAATCATGTCTTTTAGGAAGATTAATATTTCATTTTAACGATATATTTCATTTTAATGATAAGGTAAGTCAGTAAATTCACATTTAAACTACAACTTATCTAGAATAAAATACATCAGAAATCGTTACACTATATTTAAATGATCATGAGATCATAATAAGGGAGTTATATATATATTGCGCCGCTCTAAGTAGTTAAATATAATTCATTGGAACCAAAGAGGATATCGTATCAGTTTAGTGGGTGACACAAGGATTATGAAGCTTTTCTTAAAGGAGATTAGGTGAATCAAGTTGTTTGTTACTTATATTAGAAAGGATCCCAAGTTGCTCGATTCGATGATAAATTTAGGGTCAGGGATGGATCGAGAGAGATAGATAGGGATAATTATTCTTCTGAAAATTTAAAATTCTCTTATATATTAATTTTTTATGTATTTTTGTTGATAATTCATTTTAGTCATCCAAAAATTTTATAAAATCGTTTATCTTTAAAAAAACTATAAGTTTATCTCCTAACATAAAATTATACGTCCGTCTCTGCTTGGGACCCTCGTTACGTTTTACACTCAAGTTCAGTGTGGATAGTGAACTATTTTATTAATTTTGACCATGAATGAGGGAGTTTTTGACCAGCTTGGTCTCCACTTCGGTGAAAACAAGAATCAAAACATATCCCCAAAAGGCCAAAACCCCATTAAATTATATGTCCCCAATGATCACAACATTATTCAATGAATATTTGTTTGGTGAAAAGGAGATTCCAATCATGTTGATTCAGCAATAAAGGATTGCATTATTAGGAAAAAGATCAGTTTAATGTATTTAATATTAAAATTAATAAGGATTTAAAAAGTAATTAAATTTAAAAAGGTTGACTGGTTGAGACTGAAGTTTAATTTCATTAATCTAAGACTAGTACGAGTTTAAAGAGTCGTTGAATCAAGAGAATGGAGAGAGAAGGACTTAATTTCATAGATTTTAAAACTAGTAGTGCTTAAAATGTAATTGAAACATAAGAGTTGGAGGACTAAGTCCCCTTCCCATCATCAACGTAGTTCAATCCAGGATTACATGGTTGAGATTTTATATAATCTAAAAGTTACATGATATTGAGGTTTGCTTTTTTATGAAGTAGAAAAATAATATATTTTTGAGGTAAATGTTGAGGTTCGAGTTTATATAAGATAAGATAATATGAATATTCTTGGTCACTCAATCGATTAATGAATCTCATATTAAGATTTACAATTTAAACATAGATAATTTCATTCTCCGAATAATTAAATTATATTTCACATCTTATTATTCATCAAAATTTGGTTCCTTTCTAAATTATACGGGTTATATCAAAACCATTCTTAGTTTTATTGTCACGATAATTAAATGGTATTTCACACCTTATTATCTAAGGTTCAAATTATTTCTCTTCTCTAAATTATTTAGAGTTTATATATGAAGCGTTCGATAGTTTCATTGTCCCAATAATTAAATGACATTTCAGATCCATTATTTAGGGTTCAAACCCGTCTCTTCTTTAATTTATCTGGTGTTTATATCTGAATTGTTTGATTTACTGTCCCAATAATTAAATAGTATTTCACATCCAATTATCTAGGATTCAAACTTTGTTTCCTCTTTAAATTATTTAGGGTTTATATCCGAAACATTCTATAGTTTCATTGTTTCAATAATTATCTAAGGTTCAAACTCATGAAAGAGAAGAATAAGGGATATCTTTGAAGAGCAGAAAGGAACGTTGTCTTACAGTAATGGTGTTGGATGGTTGCAATGCCATAATGAAGGGGTCCATCGCCATTCAAAAGCCTCTTCCGAAGGCGCCTCATTTGCATGCTGCTTCCTTGCACCACTCAACCTTGTCCCTTCCCTTTGCAAATCGCACTTACTGCCATATATATTGGTAATTTACCGATCTTATCGGCTCAAAAACACTTTGAAATTGTGTCTGTCATTGATTAATGCTTAGGGTTTTTTGAGCTAGCTGCTGGCTGGCTGGCACATTGCAGGCTTGATAAGTATGCTTACATGGAAGTAGTTGTCGCACTTATTAGCAGTAAGTTTTCATTTACAGAAAGCAAATATTTAAGAAATACCGGCAGCATTGACTGAACTTATCATTTTATTTTAGAGGGACCGATTATCGAAGATAATTTTAATAATAGTTTTATCTATTAATATATGTGGTTTTATTAAACAAATGTAGATTTATAAGATTTTTTTATATAAATTCTCCAATAAGATAAGCAACTTAGCCTCTCTCACAATTTCATCGTAGTTTTGCCCTTGAGTACCGGGTGAAAATTTTGTCTTGTTGATATTATTTTTGAAGTTATTCTTGTAACTCTAATAAAAAAATCATCTTTATAAAATATAAACAGATAGATTAATAATTAAAATATAATCAGATTTGTTCTAGAATAATTTTACAAGATAATGAAATGTAAATAAAATGACTATTTATAATTAAATTTTCATAAGAATATGATAATAACAAATTTTGTCCTCAATATTTTCATTTTTTATTAGTTTGACACTTACTCTTTCGAGCTAAATTTCATCCTCGATTTTTTTAATCAAATTGGTGTAATTTTAACAAAAATAATGATTAAGTATGGAGCTAATGTGACAAGTTCACAAGTATTTCATTATTGACATCATGTGAGAAGCACATAGTACTTAGGAGTGTCAAATAACACCCCAAAATTTTTTAATATATATATATATATATATATATATATATATATATATATATATATATATATGAATTTTATACTAAATATAAAATCAACACTATTTTAAAAAATAGGGACATCTCTTAAAATAAATTAATACCAATTATTTGACCCTATCCACTTCGTACGTAGAATCATTTTATAAATTTTGACCCCGTAATATAATTTTTAATAGCCCATCTACTTGGATAGGGCTGCAACCTGTAACGCACTAATGGGCCAGTGAGGACAGCTTGAATTCTTAGCATGGGGTGATAGTAAAAGGGTAAGAAAGTAAATATACATTAGATTACGAAATATAATATTATTTAATAGAGTAAAGTACACAAATATACTCCAATAATAATAGGACCTTGTATTGTTGAAATACTTAACAATTAAAAATTATTAAAAGATTTTTTTGCTATAAGATGATATTTTGTTGAGTTTCTTGATTATTAAAAGTTATAAAATGATCATATGATTATTCATGTGTTCTAAAAACATTCTTTTTCGTTAAAACTTTTACAATGTTAATCCATTGATCGAGATATGATAAAATTATATTTTAATAATGTTTATTGGCATCGTCTTTGCTTTTAAACATTGGC